GACTGACTGACAGAGCGGCCATTACAGACAGACTGACAGAGCGGCCATTACAGACAGACTGACAGAGCAGGCAGACTGACTGAGCGGCCATTACTGGCAGATAAACTGACAGAGCAGCCATTACAGACAGACTGACAGAGCGGCCATTACAGACTGACTGACAGAGTGGCCATTACAGACAGACTGACAGAGCGGCCATTACGGGCAGACTGACTGAGCAGCCATTACTGGCAGATAAACTGACAGAGCAGCCATTACAGACAGACTGACAGAGCGGCCATTACAGACTGACTGACAGAGCGGCCATTACAGGCAGACTGACTGAGCAGCCATTACTGGCAGATAAACTGACAGAGCAGCCATTACAGACAGACTGACAGAGCGGCCATTACAGACTGACTGACAGAGCGGCCATTACAGACAGACTGACAGAGTGGCCATTACAGACAGACTGACAGAGCGGCCATTACAGACAGACTGACAGAGCAGGCAGACTGACTGAGCGGCCATTACTGGCAGATAAACTGACAGAGCAGCCATTACAGACTGACTGACTGAGGGGCCATTAGAGACAGATAAACTGACTGAGCGGCCATTACAGGCAGATAAACTGACAGAGCAGACGTGGAAGATACAGATACTAACATAGCGGCCATGGAAGATACAGATACTGACAAAGCGGCCATGAGAGACACAGATACTGACAGAGTGGCCATGGAAAACACAGATATTGACACAGCGGCCATGAAAGAAACAGATTCTGACAGAGCGGCCATGAAAGAAACAGATACTGACACAGCGGCCATGAGAGGAACAGATACTGACACAGCAGCCAAGAGAGATACAGAAACTGACACAGCGGCCGTGAGAGGAACAGATACTGACGGAGGAGCCACGAGAGGAACAGATACTGACACAGCAGCCAAGAGAGATACAGAAACTGACACAGCGGCCGTGAGAGGAACAGATACTGACACAGCGGCCGTGAGAGGTACAGATACTGACACAGCGGCCATGAGAGGAACAGATACTGACACAGCAGCCGTGAGAGGTACAGATACTGACACAGCGGCCGTGAGAGGAACAGATACTGACGGAGCAGCAACGAGAGGAACAGATACTGACACAGCGGCCTTGAGAGGAACAGATACTGACGGAGGAGCCACGAGAGGAACAGATACTGACACAGCAGCCAAGAGAGATACAGAAACTGAGACAGCGGCCGTGAGAGGAACAGATACTGACACAGCAGCCGTGAGAGGTACAGATACTGACACAGCGGCCGTGAGAGGTACAGATACTGACACAGCGGCCATGAGAGGTACAGATACTGACACAGCAGCCGTGAGAGGTACAGATACTGACACAGCGGCCGTGAGAGGAACAGATACTGACACAGCAGCCGTGAGAGGTACAGATACTGACACAGCGGCCTTGAGAGGAACAGATACTGACACAGCGGCCTTGAGAGGAACAGATACTGACACAGCGGCCGTAAGAGGTACAGATACTGACACAGCGGCCGTGAGAGGAACAGATCCTGACACAGCAGCCGTGAGAGGTACAGATACTGACACAGCGGCCATGAGAGGAACAGATACTGACACAGCGGCCGTGAGAGGAACAGATCCTGACACAGCGACCGTGAGAGGTACAGATACTGACACAGCGGCCGTGAGAGGAACAGATACTCTCAGACCTTCCATGAGAGGTAGAGGTACTGACAGAGCGGCCATGAGCATTACAAATACCCTCAGACCTTCCATGAGAGGCAGAAATACTGTCAGAGCGGCCTTGAGAGGCAGAAATATCTACAGACCAGCCATGAGGGGCAGAAATACCGACAGTGAGAACATGATGTGCAGACATAGTCACAGGGCAGCCATGAGAGGCAGAAATATTGACAGAACGACCATGAGGGTCAGACATACTGACAGAGCAACCATGAAAGGCAGGCTTACAGTCAGAGCGGCCAGAAGGGGCAGACGTACTGACAGACAGGCCATGAGGGCCACAGATACTGGCAGTTCAACCATAAGAGGCACAGATTCAATGAGAGGCAGAAATACTGTCAGAGCGGTCTTGAGAGGCAGAAGTACCTTCATAGACGACATGATGAGCAGACATAGTTACAGAACGGCCATGTTGGACACAGATACTAGAAGACTGGGCCTGAGGGGCACAGGAACTTCAAGATCACCAATGATGGGCAGAGGTACTGTCAGATCATCCATCAGAGACACCGATACTGACAGACCAGCTATGAGAGGCACCGATAATCGCAGACGAGCCATGGGAGACACACATACTGGCACAGCAGCCATGAGGGTTCGATATACTGGCAGACGAGCCATGAGGGGCACAGATACTGGCACTCCTCTCGGGTTTTGTTCTTGCCTATAAAGCCACCTAAGATGGCAGCAACACTGGAACCTTGACAAAACTACGCCAGCCTAGAGGGTCTGACATGGCAGGAAAACTTCTAAGCTAAATTTAATGGGATCTGCCAAGTCTTCTAGCTCCATTTACAAAGCCGCCCTTACCACCCTACCTTCTCTGCCACTCCAGAGAACCAGGTAGCTGCTGTGATTCCTCAGTCTTCCTCTGGGCTGGGGATCCAACTGGAGTCATATCTAGCCCACCGTCCAGATACCCAGAGGGGTTCCGGATCACTGAGCTCCCACGGGCCTACGATCCTGCCACACAGAGAAAGTGGATCCTTGGACATGGAGCTCTGGCCCCCATTAAGGTTGAGTTGCTCCGGGGTGGGCCTCATTAGACAGCAGGTAACCCAACGATCTCGGAAATGCCTAAAGGGAACAGGGGCTGGAGACGAGCCAAGAATGGAGATGGACTGTCTGGAAAGGCCTAACTGGGGCATTGGTAAATCATACGCTAAAACGCAGTATATATATGAACACTGTAGAGACTGGTTTACTATTTTTGTCCATATTTTTCTTTTTTTATTCATCTTTCTGTTTAATGGTGCCAAGTGGTTAAACAATCTAAACTATTTTCATGCAGCCTGTTATCTAATAATCCAATTTTGTTCTGATGAATAGCACCGTAACTCTACATACATACCACTAAACTCTCTCGGGTTGTCTGGACGTAGCTAGCTTAAAAGTTTGTACTTAGTGAGTATACCTAGCATATCATTCAAACATATCTGTATAACGCACTGGACTAGCCTGATGTGTAGAGGTCATAGCTCTATACTTAATTTGTGCTTACTAATCTCTTGTGTGATATGTAACCTTGTTTTACGTTTGTCTTCTTCAAAAAAAGTGCAGTTGGATGCTTTTTTACTTGTTCCACTTCTTATGTCTTTCTCACAGCCCTGCAAGTGTTGAATACTTCTAATGTCTTTGCGTAGGCGGATTTTGTTAAATTGATATACTGAAAGTAGGCGTGCAATGTTTTCATGCACATCAAAAATAAAAATGTACACAAAAAAAGGTTTTAAATATGCCCCTTTGAAAATCCTGGTACGTCTTCTTTAGAAAAGTATATACTTTTTGTAGTTATTTGGCGTTCAAAACCACAATTAACCCCTTAGGGACGTTGGGCGTGCTATGTCTTCCTGAAAAATGTGGTCTTTAACACTGCAGGGCAGCATAGCATTCCCAGCGGATAGTCATACAGTCCCCCTGCAGCAAACACGGCCCTCTTAGGCCATGTGATTGCAATGATGTTACAATCAAATGACCGGATCGCCAGTCTGCTTAATTGCTTGAAAGTGGGACTGCCCAAGGTGTCATAAACTAAAGCTGAAATAAAATAAAAAAAATAATTACACACACACTCATATATATATATGGTTTTTGCCTGTAATTGTGGGAAGGGCATGATATCCCTACTTAAAGAGACTCTTTACCTTGCTCTAACGATTTGCATGTCCCTCCCTCCACTCTCACTATTCAATCATAACCTCTTTTTCTTCTCCTTTTAACCCTTGGGTGGGCCCTCTTTTATTTACAGGACCTACCGCATCGTCGGTTCCGGCACACCACAACCGACTTGCTCTCTTTCTCTAAAATTCTCCTTACTCTCTATATGGCTTTTTTGCCCTTAACACAAATATATATATATATATATATATATATATATACAGTATGTCTCAAAAGTGAGTACACCCCTCAAATTTTTTTAAATATTTTATTATATCTTTTCATGTGACAACACTGAAGAAATGACACTCTGCTAACAGTGTATATTTGCTGCCCCCTCAAAATAACTCAACACACAGTCATTAATGTCTAAACCGTTGACAATAAAAGTGAGTACACCCCTAAGTGGAAATGTCCAAATTGGGCCCAAAGTATCAATATTTTGTGTGGCCACCATTATTTTCCAGCACTGCCTTAACCCTCATGGGCATGGAGTTCACCAGAGCTTCACAAATATTTACAAAAATGTGAGGTGTGTACTCACTTTTGTGAGATGCTGTTTATGATTGTTTTTTATGCTTACTGTACACCACATTCTCCTTGCTTCCCTCTTTAAAATAAAGAATCTTTAAAAAAAAAAAACAACGAAATAAAGAAACAGAAAAGAATCATCAGCTGAAGCACTGATTATTTAAGAGGTGACAGAATATACAGTACTAAACCATCAGTTTGTTTTTATTATTTGTAGAGATTTTTTAAATTTAATAAGATTTTTTTTATAAATGGGAGTACAAAATATGGGCAATTAAAAAAAAATACAAAAATGTATGGTGTTCCAATTTCGTCTTTTGATAAAACATTTTTTTTAAATGTTAGAAACTGGTGAAGTTTTCCTCAAGTTCAAATGACTAGCAGAATGGAGTGGGGATTGTGATGAATGATGCCCTATAGAGCGGCTGCATGGGACAAATGTCCGTTTGCGCATTGTAAGTGGTTGTAGATGAATTACAATTTGTATTAAAAAATTGTCTTTCAAGATGAATGTATCCATGACAACGGCTGCAGTCGGAATGCCTAATAGTAAATGCTTCTTGAGTGGCATGTCAGTGAACACAATGGAGAGTTCTAATTGGTCAGTAAAAAATACTGTGGACTATTCCCAGAGCATCCCAGCTGCTAGAGGTGAAAGTGGTTTCAAAGTTCCTCTTTCTTTTTCAGGATAATTTTCCTCACAAGCTCAGTAATCTGAGGCCTCAACTCTTCGACAGACACGGTAGGACCCCAGGCTCCCACAACTTTCCCATCGGGCCCGACTAGATATTTCCAAAAATTCCAGTCCGCCTCTTTTCCAGATGATTCTAAGAGAATATTCAAAATTAAAACACCTTTAATGTTAACACATTCACCAAGGTACATTTGATACAAGAGACGTGGTAGATTACAGTTACTAAAATGTGAAGTTGGGGAGTAAAAGTGCCTAAATTATTTTATGATGCCTAATTAACTAGTCTGAAATGAAAGTTAAATCACTTTGTTTATGCAGCCTGTAATAAACGTTTAACTCGCAAGTTGGAATAAACTTGGAATTTATAATAACTAAAAATAATAACTTAAAAACCGAGTGTAAAATCAGAGTCCACACTCCTTGCTTTCGACAATTCAATAATATTTATTAATAAAGGCTAATCAAACAAATAAACAATACATATACATTTGAAATAGGCTAGTATATGTTGCTACTAAAACTAATCATTGATTGAATGGAAAGTAGGCTAAATTAACATAGTAAAACAGGCATAGACACGTGATACAGTTACCACTCCATCGATCAGCAGCTGAGAGTAAGAGAGAGAGGGTGTGTATAGTGTGGAGAGGGGAGAGAGAGAGAGAAGGTGAAGAGAGGTACCGTATATACTCGTGTATAAGTCGATCTCATGTATAAGTCGAGTGCAGTTTTGTGACCAACAATTGTGAAATATGCTATGCCTCGTGGATAAGTCGAGGGTAAAACTTGGGGCTATGAAATTCTGTGATTTTTATAATTATATACACACACACTCATACAAACACACATTCTGCATTATATACACACACTCTGTGTATATAATGCAGAGTGTGTATATAATGAAGAGTGTGTGTTTGTGTAGTGTGTGTGAACTGGGTGGGGAGAGGGCATTTTTATTATTTTAATTTTTTTTATTTTAATTTTTTTTTTTAATTATTTTAAATTTTTTTTGTCCCCCTCCCTGCTTGTTAACCGGTCAGGGAGGAGGGCTATCTTAATCCCTGGTGGTCCAGTGGCATGGGCTTTACTTACCTTTCCTGCAGCTCCTGTCAGCTCCCTTCTCCTCCGTTCCGGTCAGCTCCACTGTAAGTCTCGCGGTCTGGTTGCCGCGCGGATCGTTGCCACGGCTCTGACGGCCGCGGCTCTCTAAGTTGCCATAATACAGACAGTGACTCGAGTATAAGTCGAGTGGGTGTTTTTAAGCACAAAAAATGTGCTGAAAAACTAGACTTATACTCGAGTATATACTGTAATTCAAAGAGAGAGACAATGTGCTATTCACAGTGCTTTAAACAGGTTAGCCCCTCCTTCTGCTGGACACACCTCCCTTAGTCAATCCCTTAGGATGTAACAGAACCAGAGTGCCTCCTGGGGGAAGGGGGATTGCATTGGAAGGGAATGGAGGAGAGGTTTATCAACAACCCAAATGATTTTGCCTGGTGAAAGGCCATGTGCTTCACAGATGACTCCATTATTGCCTAAGGGTAGAATGGGGGCTTGAATCCCTGTATTAGAACACAATAACACTTCATTGGCATACAGTTTGGCTGCTAATCACATCCCCCCACTTATTACACAGCCCTAGCTACACCTCCCCTGTATGTGGCATACACAGTCTCCCTATACATTTCATGTATAGAGATATCTAATTTTTTAATTTCCTTTATTGCACAGTCTGGTTAATATAGAATTTCTTATGTTCTGCTCTGTTAATATTCAGCTAGAGCCTGCAGGGGCCTTCTGTATATGAGTAAAGTTCAATTAAAGGACCACTATAGTGCCAGGAAAACATACTTGTTTTCCTGGCACTATAATGCCCTGAGGGTGCTCCCACCCTCAGGGCCCCCCTCCCGCCGGGCTCTATGAGGTGGAAGGGGTTAAATTTACCTCTTTTTCCAGCACCGGGCAGGGAACTCTCCTCCTCAATATCGCCGTCATCGGCTGAATGCGCATGCGCGGCAGGAGCCGCGCGCGCATTCAGCCAGTCCACAGGAAAGCATTCTCAATGCTTTCCTATGGACGCTAGCGTCTTCTCACTGTGAAAATCACAGTGAGAAGCGCGGAAGCGCCTCTAGCGGCTGTCAATGAGACAGCCACTAGAGGCTGAATTAACTCATTTGTAAACATAGCAGCTTCAGGGAATATAGACGAAAGGGTTAATCCTAGTTGGACCTGGCACCCAGACCACTTCATTAAGCTGTAGTGGTCCTTTAACAGAGCAGGATATTAAAACTTCTAAATTAAACACACTGTGCTGTCACATCTGATTAAAAATGGAAAATAAAATTCATACAGACTAGATGTGTGGCTAGGGCTATATGAACAGAAACAAATATGATTTAACTCTTAAATAGCAGAGGATTGAGCAATGAGACTGCAGGAGCATGAGCCATACAACAAAACTGCATCATTAAGCTAAAGTTATTTTGGTGCTTAGAGTAACTGTTTAATATGTCACATAAAATAACACTAACAGAGTTATTTACTAAAATATGAATTATACGGAAGTCAAAGTGCATTGAATTTGTTTGTCTAAAATGTCTAATATTAGACAACTTAGCTAAGTTTTCAGTTTAACGTTTTTGGTTGCAAATTTGAAATTCACTTTCTAACAAATTATAATTTAGTAAATAACCCTGAGGACATAACAAATTTACTTAATGTTGTTATTTTATTTCTGGGCAAACACAACTATTTCTTATTAATATTAAAGGGACACTCAAGATTGAAACATTAAAGGGACATGCTAAGCTCCATAACTAGCTCAGCTTACTGTAGAGGTTAAGGTGAAAGGAGTTATAGGGTGCCGTTCTTCAAACTCTATTTTAACTGGTTTCAAACAGCTTAATAACAACCACAACTCTTCTTTTACCAAAATGTCCGGCTCCTCACCTGCTGAAGTTAGAATTTCACTTTTGCGTTTTCAATAAAAATCTATCCAAACTTGGACAGCCATGATAGACTGGTGGGCTAAGGGAACAGGGCCAAACAGCTTATCATTGCTGTCCAAGAATGGAATAATAATGCAGATAATGTCCAGCAGGTGTTCATAATGTAAGCTGTTTATCTTCCTATACTTGCAGTATACTATACTTGCAGTTCCACTCATCACGCGGAATGACTGAGACAGCCATTTACGGCTTTATGAAATTGGCTGTGTGAGAAGTTTATGGAGCAATTGAGTTCTCTCCAAGAAGGAGAGAGAAAGATCATTATCACTTGGACTGGTCCAAAGTGGACAAAACTGCCCTACCCATGCCAAGAGAGCTGGAAGCCAATCTCCCCTTTGAATGTGACTACAGGGTGGTCTCTGCACCATAACCTCTCTTACTTGTGAATTCTGGAACTGTACCATATTTCTGACCTTTGAGTTACAGAAAGTTAGACGACAAATTTCAAGCTCAGTATTTATGCACCCCTCTGACAAATAGATGGGTATGGTTACACCTTTGTTTGTTTGTTTGTTTGTTTGAACCTTGTAACCTTACTTTGTAGGAAGCTTTTTCTAGACTTAATGGTGACTTCTCTTACCAATTAGATACTTGAAGGTGGCGCTTGCTCCAGTGCCGCTGACTGCAGTCTTGCTGAACATGGGGAAAGTCACTCCATACGTCTTCCTGACAAAGCTCTCAATCTCCTGGTCACTATTGGGCTCTTGATTCCCAAATTGGTTGCAGGGGAACGCCAGCACATTGAAGAGTGAGGATCCCAGGTCCCGTTGCAGCTGTTGCAGTGCCTTGTAATGACCGTCAGTGAATCCACATTCACTGGCCACATTGACCACCAGAGATACCTGAAAGCCACAAGTAAACAGAGGTTGATAGAGTATTTGGATTTAAAGGAAGAGGGATTAGCAGTAAAACAAACAATCCAAATGAAAAAGCCTTTATATTTTATTTACATGTACAGTATAGCTTACCCAAATTAAGTCAATGATAACTATCACAAATTATTACAACTATGATTAACAAACAATGGGAGACTTACACTGCTTTGGTGATTATAGTTGTAGCACAGTCCTAGTCCTAGAAGGGACTCTTCTCCGCTGGATCCACCAAAGTACAATCAGTAAAAAAGAAAACGCCAAAGAAATATCCCACCTCCCCCCCAGCAACTGGACGACACACAGTTCTGGGAGTACAACTGAAGTTTATTGAGTCACACACGGCGTTTATGCCCAGTCCCATACAAGGGGTTTTCAACACAATAATACAAGGGTTTCATTCCGAGGAACCTCTGTGCCTGAGAGATAATTGCGTGAGAAAAATCATCCAATTTAATTATCTCTCAGGTGCAGAAAATCCAACAAAATATACTGTACCCCAAAAGTACCCCCCACCCATAGGAACCCCACAAAAAGTACATTCCCCAATAGCCTCGATCTGAGTGTATAACATATACAAGAATCACTCAAATTGGTCCGGTGAAACGGAAATGACATTGAGGCAAAGTTTTGACGGGCCAGGCACGAGACGCTCGCCCAAAACAGTTCCAGGGAAATAGGTGCCCTGGCCGTTCTCCGTTCGTGAGGTTCCAGTGCGAACACCATGCAAGGGAATTTATTTCAGGATACGAATGCTCCCCCTGTTCGGTAGTTCATATATACCGAACATCGTTCGTCTAGGTGGTCTGGAAATAGAACAGGCAGCGGTCTAAGTTTTACCGGCGTTTGGGCGAGTGCCTAGCCGAAAAGAGTTCCACTCGACAACCAAGTACTGCTGCCCACATTCGGGAGACAAGATGGCCACCACTCTTTTGTCTGCCACGTGTTCGGTTATACGAAATGCCGGCCACCCAGGGGAATCATTCATTAATTACTTCCCTTGTGGTTTCGCACTTAAGTAGTCTGTGTCAACGTTCTAATGGGGTACAGGGGTGGTCCTCATTCTGGAGATGAAAGAATTCTGTTCGTTGGAAGTCTCCCGAACAAAAAAAGTATGAAAAAGTATATATATATATATATATATATATATATATATATATATATATATAAAAGTATTTGGAGGTTCTACATTCTGCTACAATAGTGCTTGGAGATTTCCTTTAAATGCACACTCCAGGCTGGATTGATACCATTCATAATTGCTGCTCATGTGCTTCTCATTCACAATACTTCTCTATGAGAAGCATTGGATGAGACGAGACGAAGAGGAGACAGCTTGCAAGAGGATGACACTGGAGGCAGAGTGCGTGACTGCATGGAGTGAGTCTCAACGCTGAAAACAAAGGAGTAAAAAAAAAAACACTTCATTTCGGGGGCACTGAATCTAAATAGTGCGTAGAACACTATAGCATTAAGAAATATGTTTATATTCCAAACACTATAGTATTCTCCTCTCAATTAATTTTCTAATATGATAAAAGGGAAACTTAACTATTTAGTAAAACGTACCTTCTATTTTTTATGTATTATACAGATAATGCTCAAAAGACATGCAAAGCAAAAAAAAAACTTTCAAAGCTCCCAGGAGAATGACTGTTTAAGTGATTTTGTAAAAAGACACCACTGACACCAGTTAGAGACACTTCAATCAGTAGTGTCTTACTCCGGTATCCTGTCTTATTCCATAACCCTTCCCCTCACCAGAAGCATTTTATGGGATAAGTATTTTATCCTGTTTTGTGCTAAAAATGAATACCATCTATAGTACGTCTGCTATCAGTTTACTCACATTCTGAATCACTGATTTGTTAACCAGCTGCAATTTTAAGCCACTTTTAGAGCTTAGAGCAGAGAGAGGGTGTCTTTTATAAAATTAATTTCAATTGAGTCAAAATGCAACTGGCTAACACTTATAATGGCAGTAGTAATATTTTATTTAGCGTGGATCAGGGTCTCACAGAAAAACAATACTGGTAAGATAACATGTTTTCAAATCGTTAAGTACGGGGCAGCATATCATATATTAATAACTGTATGGCATAGCATGACAGACATTGGTGGGTGCCATGTCTGTGGCACTTTGATATATAATGCTGAGAGTTACACGTCTGAGCAGTAGCATTAATTCAATACAAAATGGAAATAGTGAGATAACCACAATACTGGGTGCAGGCAAGCCGCTACAAATGGGACACACTCCCTATATCCCTTAAAAACAAGTGCAACGGAAAACTGTACAACAACCAAGTGCAAATACAGTGTAGGGCGCCACTTTCAAATGCGTGTTAGCCTGAGGAAGTCTGTAACCAAAGGCGAAACGCGTTGAGCACTTTACATTACCCAGGAAGGATTATAGCAGTTAGAGATAGCTGAATCTCTTCGATCAATTGGCAGCCAGGGAGGAGATATTGACGAAGCCCTGAATTACCTTGTAAAGACTGCTGTATCCAGGGTAACAACCTATTAACAGCCTATTGCAGGCTAACACGCATTTGCACATATTGATTCAGTTGAATTGTGCCATTTTATTTGTGTGTTCTATTTTTATTCTGTTTTTTATCTCTTGTTATTAAAGCTTGTTTGCACTATGATATGTCTTTTCTTTTTTTACGTGAGTTTTACAAGCTCATCATCCAGTTGGTAATTATATTCAGCACTGTGTTTGTGAAAATGGCACCCTACACTGTATTTGCACTTGGTTGTTGTACAGTTTTCTGTAGCATTAATTCAACCTCTATCCCTATTAGAGCTGAGTCAACCACAAGACGCCACCTTGGTGGCATGTCTTAGTGCCACCATAGACATGGGCCCAGGAACCATGAATTTGCTTGGGACCCATTAACCATCCCTATGTGAACAAGAAAGGGAGGGGGGCCTATAAAGGTAACCCGATTAGGGCTCAGTGGGTGGGCTGGAGGTACAGACTGTGCAATCTTCTTTAACCTATATAGAAACATAGAATGTGACGGCAGATAAGAACCATTCGGCCCATCTAGTCTGCCCAATTTTCTAAATACTTTCATTAGTCCCTGGCCTTATCTTATAGCTATGATAGCATTATTCCTATCCCACGCATGCTTAAACTCCTTTACTGTGTTAACCTCTACCACTTCCGCTGGAAGGCTATTCCATGCATCCACTACCCTCTCAGTAAAGTAATACTTCCTGATATTATTTTTAAACCTTTGTCCTTCTAATTTAAGACTATGTCCTCTTGTTGTGGTAGTTTTTCTTCTTTTAAATATAGTCTCCTCCTTTATTGTGTTGATCCCGTTATGTATTTAAATGTTCTATCATATTCCCCCGTCTCGTCTTTCCTCCAAGCTATACATGTTAAGCTCCTTTAACCTTCCCTTGTTAAGATTTCCCTCTAAGAATGAAGTGATTTGAGGGTACAGCGTCTCTTCCTGCAGTTTTGCACAGAAAATAAACAGTGCTTACAGTGTTAACATTTAGTTAGCCACTAGGGACTTCCGGCAAAGGGTGTATTATAGAATCTATTTGATGGCTTGCATGTTGAAGCTCGACACTCTGCTCTTTCAATGCTTCTCTGTGAGAAGCATGGGATTCAAGTGAATCCCATAGAGAAACATTTGTTTGGTGGATCGGGTTGCCATAAGGAGACTGGCTGGATTAATGCATGATTTCAGGTACGTTTTATGGAGATTTTAATGATTTTGTTTGTTTTCATCCAAATCTAATTTTGGGGAGATCTGTTTATACTTGGGAGTTAGAGCATTATATATCGTACAAGATCCAGTGCACTCACTCACTAAACAGCAACTTCAAATCTCAGAACATAAAGCACTGGAATGAGGAACATGTGACAAGAAGGGGTGCATTTTTTCCAGGGCTTTCTATAATTTTGGCCTGCAGAGAGCGCCAGGGGGAAGTATTTCCCAAATAGGTGGGGTGATTTCATAAGAGCAGGTATTAGGTTGCTAGGATAGGACCAGGGGCGTACCTGGAGCATTTGGCACCCGGGGCGGATCCTCTATGATCCCTTCAAAATTTAACAAAAACAAATTTTTTTAATGTCTTTAGCACTGATCAGTGTTTTTATCTTTATGTATTTGGCACCAAGCACTGTTTGTGTGTTTGAATGTAAGCATGTTTGTGTATGGAGAATGTGTGAGGGAATGTACGGGTGGGTTTGCACGTATTGGCATTTGAATGCAGGAGTGCATTTTTCTGTAGTGTGGTTTTTGAATATGGTGGTGTTTTTTTTTTGTAGTGTTAACATTTGGATGCAGGGTTGTATTTGTGTGTAGTGTAGGGGAAATGCTGAGATGTATGCACACATACATACATACATACATATACACACACTGGCACACAGACACATAGGTACACACATGCAGTTACATAGAAACAGTCATACACAGACAAACACTGACACATACAGATAGACACACAGATACAAACACACATATAGATAAAAACATACACACATACAGACACAGAGAGAGACACACAGGCAGAGACACACAAACAGATAGAGACACACACATACAGACACACTGATACAAACACAGACACACAAACAGATACACAGACACACTGACACATACAGATACACATATACCAATACACAGACACACATGTATAAGTGTGTGTTTGTATAGTGAATGCAGTGTGTGTGCTTGTATAGTGGATAATGGTGTGAGGGAAGGGGTGATGGTGTGGGGGGGTGAACTGAGAGGGAGCTCCGGGATGGGGGTGAGGATGAGAGGGAGGGGGTGATTGTGACAGGGAGGAGGATGATTGTGAGAGGGAGGGTGATTGTGATAGGGAGGGGGTGATGAGGGAGGGTGGGGTGATGGGTGGGGGGGTGAAGGGAGCTCATGGAGAGGGGGTGAGGATGAGAGGGAGGGGGTGATTGTGAGAGGGAGGGGGTGATGTGATGAGGAGAGGGGGGGGTGATGCAGGGGGGAGTAAAAAATTACCTTAAATCCCTGGTGGTCTAGTGGGGGCTGCCTGGTGGTCCGGTGGCCATCATTTCCGGCAGAGCTGCAGACCATGGATCTCACGAGACCCAATCAGAGCCTTGCACATTGCGGAGCTGCAGACCGGTTTCTGCGATGGGCGCAGGAGGGGCATTGCAGTCTGCCCTGTGCACCCCCCTAGTGAGTGGCACCTGGGGCGGACCGCCCCAGCCCTCAAGCCTCCCCTTAGTACGCCACTCGATAGGACCTGCCAAAAATCAGGTACATTGGCGTTGTGGCAGGCTTATGCAATGTATGATCATATGCTGTTAATAAATCCTCATTATTTTTTAAGTCAGGTTTTTTTTTCTTTAAATTACATTCTGTGAGGTTTGAAGTGGGTTCAGACCCTTTGAAGATTATATATATATATATATATATATATATATATATATATATGTACATCCACATACACACACACACACATTTATCCAGACATGCATCCTGTCCTATAGTGTTTTATACCCCACCTCCTCTAGACTGTAAGCTTAGTTGAGCAGGGTACACTTCAACCTATTGTTCCTGAAAATGTTTGTAATAGTCTCATTTATTGTTAAATCTCCCCCTTTTATAATCTTGTTAAGCGCTACGGAATATGTTGGCGCTATATAAATGCTAATAATGTTAATACACATTTATACATACATACAGGTATAGTGTTATATGCATCAATCGTAGACATGGACATACACATTCCACCCAAAGTTACCAACAGCTATTGCCTTCTTAGTCCTGCCCTGTTCCCATAATTCGCATGCCAAGTGAAGGGTTGGGCAGAGGCAGGCAATGTGTCTCTCCCAAATATCTCTTGTGGCATATCAGTAACAGGAGGAGGACTTAGTTAATGGTGGTTGTCTGGTAGTGTGACTCCCATCAATCTTTTGCAGCCCAGAGTATAAAAGTCACAGGGTAGCACTAAGAAACAAGGAAGTGTGTATATGTGGTGCATTCCACTGTAAAAACAAAAAAATAATTATATAAATAATACACATTGCTAAAACACGTATTATCCCACTTCCCCATTCTAACCAAGGTATTGAGGTGTCAAAATGCTGCCTCCTCCAGCCCTCCTGCACAACCTCCATATATGCACAGATTGTCTGGGGCTAAAATTACCATGGTGCAGGGCCTACCTGGAGCATTTGGCACCAGGGGCGGATCCTATATTTGGCACCTACCCGCTTAAAAAAATGTAAAAAAAAAGATTTTTTTTTTATTTATGTATTTAGCACCGAGCAGTGTTTGTATTTTTATTTATGGATTTAGCACCAAGCAGTGTTTGTATTTTTTTTAATGTATTTAGCACCGAGCAGTGTTTGTGTGTTTGAATGTAAGCATGTTTTTGTATGGACAATGTGTGAGTGAATGTATGGGTGTGTTTGCACGTATTGGCATTTGAATGCAAGCATGCATTTTTCTGTAGTGTGGTTTTTTTTAATATGGTGGTGTGTTTTTATGTAGTGTTGACATTTGGATAAAGGGTTGTATTTGTGTGTAGTGTACGCGAAATGCTGAGATGTATGCACATATACTCAAACATACACAGACACAGGTACACACATGCAGTTACATAGAAACACAGTCATACTCAGATACAGACAAACACTGACACACACACGTACAGATAGAGACACACACATACAGAAACATGTTTGTATAGTGTATGTAGTGTGTATAGTGAATGCAGTGTGTTTGTGTAGTGGATGCAGTGTGTGTGCTTGTATGGTGGGTAATGGTGTGAGGGATAGGGTGATGGTGAGGGGGGTTGATGGTGAGAGGGAATAATACTGTGATTGAGGGGGTGATGGTTTGAGGAGAGTGATGTGGGTCAGAGGAGAGGATGATGGGTAGGGAGTGATGTAGAGAGAAGGAGGGAGGTGAAGTGATAGTGAGAGGGAGGGATGATGGTGGGAGGTAATGTGAGGAGGGGGGGAGGAAGTGGGTAGAGAGGGGGGGTGATGGTGAGAAGGAGGGGGGTGAGGGTGAGAGGAAGGAGGGGGGTGATGGTGTGAGGGTGTTAGTATGCCACTGCCATAGTGACATTTCAAATTCCACATTCTATTGTTTGCAGTATTTGGATTGGCAATGCCATATAATATAGGTTGAAATCAATATGGTAAATATTTATTAAAAGTAGTAAAGGTTTTAATATATCCCATTGTAAAGCGCTACAGAATTTGTTGGCGCTATATAAATATAATAATAATAATAATTAGGGATCGATCAGTGTAAATCATATTGATTAACTGACCAAGTGACAGTGGTAATAAGTAATGAGGAGTTCAGCAGATTACACAGCAATTAAAGAACATGTCCACCTCTATTTGTAGTATTTTTAGTCTGCTTTAGTCAGGTTGGAATTGTAATGGATTAAGTAGGAGAGGGTGAGGAGATCACACACAATATGGAGTAAATGTGACAGGTGGGAGTGACCAGAGGCTCCCACAGACATTACTGAGACCTCAAACCCTCACTCATGACAGACTGACTGAGCGGCCATTACAGACAGACTGACTGAGCGGCCATTACAGACAGACTGACAGAGCGGCCATTACAGACAGACTGAGCGGCCGGCCATTACAGACAGACTGACAGAGCGCCATTACAGACAGATAAACTGACTGAGCGGCCATTACAGACAGACTGACAGAGCGCCATTACAGACAGACTGACAGAGCGGCCATTACAGACAGACTGACAGAGCGGCCATTACAGACTGACTGACAGAGCGGCCATTACAGACAGACTGACAGAGCGGCCATTACAGACAGACTGACAGAGCAGGCAGACTGACTGAGCGGCCATTACTGGCAGATAAACTGACAGAGCAGCCATTACAGACAGACTGACAGAGCGGCCATTACAGACTGACTGACAGAGTGGCCATTACAGACAGACTGACAGAGCGGCCATTACGGGCAGACTGACTGAGCAGCCATTACTGGCAGATAAACTGACAGAGCAGCCATTACAGACAGACTGACAGAGCGGCCATTACAGACTGACTGACAGAGCGGCCATTAC